CATGCAGGAACCCATGAAGAGTCATCTCATTATGACAAAAGATATCTGCCACTCAGAATAGCCAAGGATTAAGGAGTTCTCAGTCAGCAACCAAAGTGAAACAGAATAACACTGAAATAAAATATGCTCCCCTGTCCTGACATCCTTACTGCTTAGTGTATTAGCATGGTTTTAGAGTACCACATCAGGTAGGAACTGGAAGCAGAGGCATACATGTGTGTATGTACCATATGTACATATGTATGTAGTATATATGTATGTATGTACCTACGTCATTTCACAGTATCATAATAGTCTAAAGAAAATTTCATCTGATCTTCAAACCCAACTTAACTGAACAATTAGTAAACACCTAGATGTAAATCATTAATATATCTGAAAATCACTCCAAATCATTGTTACTAATTCCAACCCTACCAAACTCACTATGGGGACTAAAAGACAACCTTGTGCAAGAATTACAGCACTCTAGGATGAGCTCTGCAAAAACAAGGAGCCCATACCTGCTCCCTTGTCTTCTAAAACAAAAGAATTTCAGTGTAACACCCTGTGTAGCTTCTCCAAAGAATCCAAACTGTACTTGTACTAACAAATGATGTCCAATGGGTGGGGCTTACATACACACTAATTCAAGGGCATCATGCTGTCATACATTTTCTGTTTACTTTAGAGTTATGCTTTGATATATCCAATCCTTTGTTTCATTTCCAAGACATATTTTAAAGAATGTGCCAGAAGAGAGAAATAAACTAATTGTGATGTTAGATGGACCCAAACTTGGTTGCTGTTGTTATCCCAGAAAACCACTATGCAATGACTCAAGGCAAAAATGAAATCCTTCAGCTTGCTTCCAACTGAGACTTTCTGAATAATGATCTCACCCTCTCTGGGCCAAAACTTCCCATCTGTAAAGTAAGAGTTCAACCACAAGATCTGGGGAGGTTCACCAAATCTCTGATACTCTACAATCATGTTAGGTCTGCAATTCTGCCATGCCACATGTAAACACTGCATGCCTAAAACTATTCACTGATTTACATACTTTTAAATTCTTGGAAGTTAACTCCACTAAAATAGTTTAATTACAAAGCTCTTTGTAGTGTCATGGATGTATATTTACACATCTCATGAAAACTTTGCTAAAGCTATTACCCTAAACCCACTGCAGCCAGAAACACTGTCACTATCTTCCTTAAATCTCTCCTTACTGAGAGCTCTTGGGCAGAACAAGAGGTACATACTAAGGACATACTAAGGACATTTGATTTTTTAACATGTCATGCCACTTTCCAACTTACTTGGTTTATATTGCTATTAAAGTAAATTATTCTTCAAAGTATTCATTTTCAACATTCCTATACTTTCTCATTCCTGTTATTATAGCACCATGAATCCAAAGGCTTTCCCATAACACATGCATCCAGGTGAATGCAAATGCTTCCTGCTCTATAGTCTTCCCTGGCACTGAAAGATATAAAGGACAGTCTTGATATTTCTATATTTTATATATCAACCATTTTAACACATGATGAGTCACACGGTAGCATAAGTAACACACTGAGGCAATAATTTGTGTTGCTCTGAATTACATATGATCTTATCTCTTCTACACAATTAGGAATTACTGTAGAGCAATGTCAAGTTGACACCACCCTTAATAACTCCAATAACTAATTCACAGTAAGATCTCAGTACATGTTCAGTGAAAGAATAGAATATGAAGATATGGAATTAGGATATATTTCCCAAATAAACATATAGATAAATAAATGAACAGAGCTAGTGTTGGGAAATCTAGAAGTGGGAAACACTTCTTTAAAAAAAGGATGAAAATGCTTCAGAAAAGGCTACTTTCAAGAATTCACACATTGTTCAGAGTTGTTATGTGAATAGAGTTCTCTAGGACCGCTCATAGTACAAATATCCACATGTACATCATTTTTCCCCAGATCTCTGAGTCAAAGGAGCCTCTGAAAGGTGATTCAGAGACAGATTTGGGAAAACACATAACACAAGCTTGACTAATGAGAAATCTTATACCTACTGGCCTACTTCAGGGCGTCAGGTGATTCACTGGGTTTGAGTTTGAAATTTGCCTTGGTTCAAAAATAGAAACAACAAAGTTGGACATTAGCAGTCTACATTTCTAGGACTTCTCAAGTACATTTTAATTACAACACAACACAGTTTACTGTAGACATCATCTTCTCTTGGCACATATTTTTAATACTTTAAGTGTGTGATTATTATTCTTATGGCATATAATTATGTTAACCAATAAATACTAACACATCTAATTCAGCTACACAGAGGGAAATAATTCAGAAGGATGAGCTGTATCTCCTAATTAACTCTTGCTTTCCTAAATTAGAATAACCGACAAGAATAGTATGGATCATCCTTTAATTTCTGAGTGCAACGCGCACATGGAAAGTACATTTTATACTAATTATGAACTTATTCTATTTAGGGGTATTATAATTATCTTTAAATCTCCTAAACATTTTCCTTCTTATGAGAAGAAATGTTGATATTCAAGGAACACTATTACTCATATGACTGACTTCATCCCTTTCGTCAATGATAAAGTTTTTAAAAAATAGAACCTGACACCCTCAATCTGATTTTAGAAATTAAAGTCAGTCAAAGGCTTAAATTTAAGATTCAGTTGTGCTTACACAGTAGTTATATGGTCAAAGACAAGTCACTTGCCTGCTAAATCTTAGTCTCCCACCCATGAATAAGAAATCATTGCACCATCTGTACCTCAAAGATGAGAAAACTATACCTTAAGTAAGAATATACATGAAAGTGCTTCACTATCAATAAACTGTTGCCGAAGTACCAGTGATTATGAGATTGTATGCACAGTAAGATTGCTCAAACAATAACAGAACTGCTGAATAAACCCATTAAAATGTAGTGGTTTACAGGAGACATGTGTAGACATAGCCTTCAAGAATGAAAGCTATATTAAGTAAAAACCTCACGGCATTATCTCCTGCACATACATTAGGTTATAGAGTTTTAGCGAAAGGAAAATAAGATTAAACACAAACCCTTCTTTAAAAAATAAAGCAGCAGCACACAGAAGCATCTGAGCATACTGTGGCAGAGTCTGGGGGCAGTCAGTGGCCTTGCAGTCCTAAGGTACTTGCTCGCATAGAATTAGAAGATCACAGAACACTAAATAAGAAAGCAATCATGGCTTCCTGGACACTGTTTCTCAGACCTGAATGCATTCCCTTGTCTCATTCCAGAGATGGCCTTGCTTCCTGAGTTCCTTGTTCAGAATCCACTGTAGCTTCCCCCGTTTGCAACCTTTCAAGTACTCCCATTATGTGCAAAAAGCAGGCTGAAGTTTTCAGCAGATATACAGACTTTTCTGCAAGCTACCAGTAGGAAACCATGCAGTCTTTACTTCCAGCCTTCACCGGTCCAGTGCCAGGTGCTCACAATCTCAGTACAGCCTGGACCACGTTGTACTGTGTCTCAAGCCATTCTCCTCCTTTCTCTAAGGATCAAATTCCATCCACCCTCTGGCCAAGCATGCAGGCCTTCTGACCGGAACTGTCAGATTACATCACCTTCACAGAAGTATATTACTCTCTGCTTCCTACTTTGACCACGTCAGTTATAGTTTAACTTATACAATATTAGGGAGTATTGAGTGATGATGACGGAGTCTTCCAGGTTCCCCCTGTAGACCTTCTACTTTGCTGTTCCCATGCGTTCCCCCACAGGGTGTGCTCTACGCCCGCAGTTCAGGTCATAGTTACAGGAATGAATCACATTCTTACCACTAACAGGACTGGTAGAGACAGGGGCAGAGACAGGCAAGGAAGAGCTCAGATCTAGTATGTTTTGCCTTCTACCCTGCCACAGCTGCCAATCCCATGAGAACTGTAGGAAAGGAAACAAGAAAGCACTGCAAGCTTATGTACAATTAACTCTCACAACGACAGGCAGCAGAAAAGCAAGACTGCTTTTTTTTTTTTTTTAATTTGTGAAAAGAACCACTGTCAATACACCAGCTGCTGCTCAGGAATCGCAGTAAAACCCAGAGTAGAGTACACATGGTCACCTAGTCAAGCAACTGTCGCACCTGAGTCAAACAGCACAGTCACAAAAGTACTTGTCCAGTTATTTTGTATCTAAGGTTCTGATGGCTGTCTTCTGAGACATAGGACCCTGAATAGATTTTCTATGGCTCTCTTAGGACCCCCGGGCAGCAGGGAATGATCACCGGTAGTGAAATATCCACTTCCAAATGGCACGTAATGAACTAAGATATAGACAAATAATCAAGCTCCAAAGTAAACAAAAAACTGCAAAGAAAAGCTGTTCACAGGGTACTACTTGCCCTTAGAAACACAGAATAATTGCTGTCCCATCATTCTGATGAATCTGAGGAAAAACTGAGATATTCAAACTGCTGCTGCTGGTATAAACTATGAAAACCTTCAGAAAGAAAAGCAAAGAAAGTAGTCATTCTCCTCCATGTCAGGATCTACTGGTAAAAGTCTGAGGGTAGAAAACAGCTCCAAAGAAAATACCCATGAATGTGGCTCTTGTAGCATTGCTCATGACAACAACAGCAAAAGAATAGGAACCACCTCAGTACCCAACACAAGGACTATTCTTTACATAAGATCTTCACCTTAGACTCTTTCACCTTACCCTTAGTTATCTATCTTATCCTTAATTACTTCAAGTCATATCAGTGGGCATTTTAGCAATATATAACCAAATGTCCAAATAGACAAAGCTAGAAAAAGAATGGGGCAATGGAGTAAGAAGAGATTTAATCTGAATAAAATTTTCATACAACATTCTTTTAAAGGAAATCATTAATAAGATCAGTTTAAGACATTTCTGCCACTTAACCGGCACATGCTGATATTGCATAAGAAGTTAACTTAGACCAAGATCAAAGAAAGATGGAAACAGTACAATGTCCACGGCTGGTCACATGGAGAGCCACTTTGGACTGCACTAACCTGCAGAGCCCGAGGCTTGTAGGGAGAAGTAGACTCGAGGTCAGCTAAGATACTGGTCAAGGAGTCAATCTCAGCATCCAGGCTCGAGCGTCTCTCCTCAAGGGTCTTCCCTCCAGGATTTGCCTGTCAGAAACAACACACATGCATTAAACATAAATAACATTCCATTAAAAGAATTACAAATTCAAATTTCTTAAGTTACACTTTGGCTTTTTAAGTTCTTCTGCATGTCATTTTTAAATAAAAGCTTTTATTAAATTTCATTGGGTAGGCTGAGGTAGAATTAATTACCCTTTTTGACAAATAAAAAGACTGAAAAATACAGGGTACTCATTCTAAGGTCATACATATAATGAGATACTTCCTTGATGAAAGTACAAGTCAAAGAAAAGAAATGATTCCATCCCTGCAACAAAGGGGCAAAACCAACTGAGAGGATATTGCAGGACGGTTGCATATGGAAACCACTGGATAGAATGATGATATCTTCTTGGAGCAGCAGTAGAAAAGGAAGGGAGATGGATAGTCCAGAAAGAAAACTCAGCAGTGACTATTATCAATATACGTGAGGAAGACAGCAAAACCCCAGTAACTTATCCAAAGCATGAACTAGAAAGAGGCCACTCAGAGCTCTGGCCACGGAGATACAGAGAGAATATGCACAGTGAGCAATGATGATGACCCTGGGGTCTATGCATCTCCCAACTCAATGCCCATAGTACCTGTACTCTGAATCAGTAGGAAAGCAGAAGGCAAGCACACTACCACTGGAAACAGTGTAGAGTTAGGGAAAAACAAGCAAACAATTTTCCTAAAGGGTAAGGGGAGGAGATAGAAAGTGAGGTGGCCCCAGGATTGGAAACAGAGTGAAGCCAAGATAATCTGTGAAGCTGACAATGCAGTAACGATCATCTATGAATGATACAAAAGTCTCCTAAGACTCCATCAAGAAACCCACGTATATTTTAAGCAAGCCGAAGCTGAAATGAAATAATGGGTATTTACTGTAATGTTATTAACACCACTGGGCTTGTGAAAGAAGGACAAATATCAGGAGACTGTCCAATATCTGCAAGAGCTTAGAAGAGACATTAGCCAAGAAACTGGGGTATCTTTAGTAACAACAAACACAGGCTTTCCTGATGGACTAACATTAAATCTTACAACACGAGACAAACCTGTCCTTCTAGTGAATAGGTGACATCAGGCATCATATTAAGCCCACTAGTTCGTTGTGCCTAAGGCCTTGCTCACTGAGACACTTTCTCTGAGCCCAATTTAAGCGTGCATGTTAAAGCCCCTGAAGGGGACCTGCTGCATTAGCCAGTCTCTTGTGACTTCAGCCAGCATGATTTAATCCCTCCCTGATGTGATTTATTCCAGAGACATTGATAGAATCAGGCATCTAGGAAGCCGTGACCCAAACCCTGAAGCCAAACCTAGATTGCCACATTCCTCTTTAGCCATTTGGCCTCCTGGTCTGTGAACCGCCTTTCAACATGGGGACCTTTGATCACTTTATCTAAAGTAAACCACTCATGATTTTCTCTTTCTGGATACATTCCTCTGTGTCACTCTACTGTTTTACGCTGTTACTTTTCCAATAACATTTATCACTACCCCCTCTAAGAACTATATTTTATCTGCATTTGTCTGTTTAAGGCCACCCTCTCCCCTAGTATAATGTAAATTTTGTAAAGCAAAGACTGTGTTTTATTCTTTAGTGCTTCTTCAGAATCTTGCTCAGGGCCTGACCCATGTAAAGGTTCAATAAGTATTTTTAAGTCAATAGATTAATTAATAATGACTTTGTCATAGGTTAAGCCAATAACCATTTCCTCATCAATGCTTTTTGGGTGAAAGGAACTATTAGTGCAGAAGGAAGCCATGGATACTGCCACAGATGATACAGAAGGTAATCGGAAAGGCTGAGTGTCTGTGTGAACACATGTGTGTGCATGTAGGTGTGTGTATGTGTGTATACTGGGCTAGATGGCCTACATTTTAAGTACACGCTCCTGAAATTGTTTTTCCTCAGCTTCTTTGCTCCAGTCAAAGATAGAAAATTAATTGTACAATGAATAGGTCATATTTTTCTCAGGCTCTGAAGTATTTTGTCTTGCTAAACTTTTAAGGTCAGTGAGGCTTTGTCTGAGAAATAGATTTCTTCTAAGTCTCAATGCTTCTATCATAGGACATTGCACCTTTGTGCAATCCACCCCTAGTATCACAGAAAATGGCATCCATCCCCAGTATCACAAAAAAAGGAAAGAAGAGGGGAAGGGAGAGGAGGGGAATGGAGGGGAGGGGAGGGAAGGG